TTCAAACGGTCACAACCTTTTAGAAAGGACACAACCTTTCATAAAGGTCACAACCCTTTGGCATAGTCACAACTCTTCAGGAGAGTCACAACCCTTCAATTCTTGTTCACACCTTTAAAACCCAACACCAGGTCCCTTGCAAACTTTTCTTGGTGATTTCTTGAGAAGACTTGCTGGCTTTCTCTCCTTTTGAATGAATGAACTAATTTGTTGTTTGTCATGTTGATTAAGTCAACCATAAAGAGTTATTGACCATTGGACAAACAACTTCGTCCATTCTGATTGGTGTAGTACGTTGATTCCTCACCAACCTCTGATAGGACAGCTTTACAGTTGTACCCCATTATAGATCTGGACAAGAGAACTCAGCCAGGGATCGGATCCCTGCAATTGTGAGCCACTGAAACAAACAGTCTCGTCCACTCTTCCTATTGGTGCAGTACACTGCGCTTTTCACCTATCACCTGACATGACAGCTTTACAACTGTACTCCATTTGAATCTGGATGAGAGCACTCTGCCAGGGACTAGGTCCATGCATTTGTGTGGATCATCAAAACACCTAGAATATAACATTTCCCCCCATTTTGATGATGATACACAAATATTCCTCACACTGAGTTTATTCATTCATTTCACTGTCATCAGTCCCAATAACAAGGATCTGGTTCCTTGTTAGATCTCTAAGTTTGTTAAAAATCAAAACTTAACATCAGCTCCAAAATAACAGATCATAAGACACCCAGCTGGATCATAACTCTTTTAGCATTTGATTTTATACTATTCTTTGGATCTTACTTCTCAAAGTAACTAAATTCATTCCTATATATGAATGTACAACAAATGGATGTAGATCTTCTATCATCAAAATATCCATCTCAATCCGTGTTTGTAAAAGCTTTTATCTAGAAGTGATCATGTTTTGAGAAAATAAAACATTTTTTCTAGAGTAAGCTTTATATACCCCTATTATGTAGTCATGCATTCCTAAATAAAAGTGGTACATACCTCAAGACTCATTTTGATTAGAGGTCTTAAAAAGGACAATGAATTGATTAAGAATGACCTCGACAAAGGATGAAGGACCAAACCCCAAGGAACAACATGATTACTAGGTAAGTAGACTAAGTATCAAGGAAAATAATGACAAATATAGGGAGATTCTCAGTGATGAGTGAAAAGTTATTTCCATAAAAGACTTGAGTAAGGGCATATATCTTACTACACAATGATGAAGCTAGTTCTGAGGGAGAATATTGCAGTTGAGTGCACCTGGCAATGGAATATGTAGACTGAGTTATGTTAACTTTTTTATGAGTTTAGTATCTTAAAATGGGGAAATTGATGAACTAATATTAAGAGCTACATATGATTTATGGAGAGATACAATATAGAGTTTTTAATTCAGCTTTCCCTCCGGAATTACTCCCTCATTATCGCTGGTCTTTTGGACACACATTCTTTTATTACCTACAAACAAGTTTGGTGCGCTCAAACTTAATGAAAATAAACTACACAAAAAACAACCGCAAACCAATAGATATCTCTTTAGTAAATTTTTAGCATTAAACATATGAACAAGTGTGTAGGGATGGCAATGGGGCGGGGCGGGGCAGTTGCAGGGTAAACCCGCTTAAACCCTTTAAGATCTCAACCCACCCCGCTCCGCCCCACATAACATATTTTGTTGTTTTCAATCCGCCCACCCCGCCCCGCCCCATTCCACATATTTTGTAAAAAGCAGTTCAAATAATAGGCTCAGTAAGTTTTCAACTTAAAGAAATTAAAATTTTGTTAGCTGTTAATCTCTAAAATTAACATGTTATAACATTATTTTAACATTACAATGTTTTATAACTCTTTTAGATATGTCAACAACCCTTTTTTGGTAGATTTGAATTGGTTACATTTGATGTAATAACAAATATTAAATGCAAGTAGTGAGATAATTTTTTCTTCTTTCTAGTTTCTTAGCCATTCAAAACAGTTTACGTAAAGAAATTATTTTAATAAATAATGTTTTATCACTCTTATAACATGTAAGAAGTTAAAATTAAGTTTGAACCCACATGAAATCACATATATCCGCAACTCGCCCCGCCCCGCACTGCATCCACCCTGCCCCATTGCCATCCCTACAAGTGTGCTATTTTATTTTCTCTTTACAACTTTATTTTATTGGGGGTGGAGTACAGATTCATAAGAAGGTGACAAATTTCATGAAGCTCATTTAATTCTTTTGAAGTTTATGCACCTCCATTATCAGGCCTAAAAGTTTTTAGATCATAGTCTCTCTGTGTTTCTACAAGTACTTTGAAAATTTTAAACGTAAGAAAAGCTTCTAATTTTAACTTTAAGAAATAGACTCAAAAGTCTTTCTACTAAGATCATCATTATATAATAAAAAAATATTTATTTTTATCAAAAGAAGGTGGGTTAATTGACTTACACATATTAGTAAGAATAAGATGGATTGATTTGGTTGATCTTGACGTGATCTTTATTCGAAATTTTTTCCTTAAATATTTTTCAAGAACACAAGCTTCAAACAACTTATTGTGATGGTTGAGTGAAGGCATACCGTGCACCAAATTCTTTCTCCCACTCATTTAAGTGCATCAAAATTTAGGTTTCCAAATCATACGTGCTAACACTATGATTTATCTTGCACATTAGCTTCAAACACTTGATATTAATTATTTAACATTCAAAGAAAATAATCAATTCTTTACCGTATACACTTTAACAATTATTTAAATTATTTTGTATATGTTTCATATGAATATCATATTCCTTTCAAGTAATTAGTTCAACTTTAGAATATTATTTTCTAATTTTACACATAATAAACATCTTTTAATTACTTTGTGGTCACCATCTTTATCTGAGATAAATATGGTATGTATCCTACAATTTGGTTCTTTGAGGTGTCTCCAAAAGAGACACTACCTCTCACCATTTTATTGATCTCTAAGAATTTATTTCTCCATCCACACATATGATTTATTGATTCATTGTCCAAATAGAACGAGCTAAAATTATATTGTCTTCTTTTTAAAGTATCAGCAACAATGTTTACTCATCTTTTTTTTTCTAATAAACATGATTAGCTTTCTTGATCAACTGGCATTCCCAAGAGTATTGATCAATTTTTTATGAAAATTATTATACTCAATTTTATATTTTTCATACTGTATTCCATTTATTTATTTAAAGTAATCACATCATCTTCTCCCTCTTTGTCCACGACCACAATCTTTAAATATTTGGTGACTTTTTATCTTCATTATTGAAATTGTTATCATAACTTCTTCCTTTTCCACGTTCACCACGGCCTCTTCCTCATCAATTTTCTCTATTATTCTTTTTACCTACACTATCTTTGAAGGATGCCTTGGTTTTAAGAAGATTCTCCAGTGGCTCTTCTTATTTCCTATTGATCTTTTAGTGGGATTGTAAAGAACCATTATACCATCATAGAATTCAAATATTTAAACTCTTTAATAACACACATCATATAATCAAATTTAAGTATTAAAAAAAAAATTGTACTACACGCACATTATTTACTTTCTCCCTATACCTTTTTTATTGATGCACAATAGCCATCACTTTTGAATAGAAATTCGAAATAAATTTGAATACTTTCATTTATAACTTAGAAATAAGTCAGTTTGATGTTTTATCTTTTTTACATTATCAATGCACTTGTGAGAATCTCGTAAAATGTACTAATATTATCCACATTAAATAATAAGAACAAGAAGATAACAAGGACACCAAGCTTTTTTTTACATGGAGAAATAATACTCGAGCGACAAAATATAACATAACTAAGAAATTTAGTATATTTGATATTCTCAAAATGACTAAACCACACTAAAAAAAACCTCATTTATTTTAGATACCTCATCATAACATGCTCACACACTCTATTTTCCTTTATAGACCTGTAACTATCTATCTGTGAACGACTCTCAACTCTCACTATTTGTTTCATTTGGTTGGTCAAAATAAGGAGATGAAGATCTTCTTTTATTACCTTGAGAACCATTGCTTCAAGTTATCATATATGAGTCTAACTCAACCCCAAAAGATAGCGCTTGAGGGGAGGTTTGCTCAAGTTTATATAAGGAGATCAAATTCTCATCCTTCTACCGATGTGAAACTTTTTAACACATCCCCGCATGCTCAAACCTCAACTGGAGCGTGGATACTTCTAAATAGAGGCCCAATATTGGTGAACAACAAATTGGGATGGGTCTGACTCTAATACTATGTAAAAATATGATACCTTGACCTAACTCAACCCCAAAAGCTAGCTCTTGAGGGCAGGGACGTATTTAGAGGGGGTGCCGTGGGTTCACGTGAACCCATGCTCCCCTCTCTAGATTATATATAATACTGTTATATTTTTAAAAAAAATTTAAATATAGGTGTGTGAACCCACATTTAAAATATCATATAATAATACAATAATGATTGAGTGCACCTCTCTAAGTAAGGATAAAAATTTAAGTCTTATATCTATCTTGTTCTTTTGAGTAACACCTCCCCAAGTGGTTATCGATTATACTTTTGATGTTTCAACTAATTTTTCTTTTGTTTTTTTTCCTTTAATCTTTCAAAATTTTCAAGTGCGTTACATTGGAAGGTCCTAAAAAACTTTGCACTAAATGATTTTTATATAATTAAATCAAATGTGTATATTAAAATTTAAAACTAATAGTATTATTATATTTTGAACCTATAATTTTTAAAATGGTTCATATTAAGAACCTAAAAGTCAAACTTATCAAATTTATATTTAAGATGCATTTTTTTGTATTCGTGCACCCATCTTGACGAATTCCTGGATACGCCTCTGCTTGAGGGGAGGTTTGTCTAAATCCATATAAGGAGACCAAATTATCATTCCTCTACTGATATTAGACTCTTTAACACCTACTTTTGGATTTTGTTTTCAAATTTATTAATTTTGTAAGATTAATATTATTTTAGGCATGGCTGACATACTTTTGGAGAAGGGCGAAAAATCACGAAGTGGAGGCAGATATTGCAGAAGAGAGATTACAGTTTTGGATCAACCAAGGTGGCCAACCTTTCACTTCATATGATGCTGTACATGGTAACACTTTACCCCCTATCTTGTGTAAGGCGAATAAGTTATTTTCCAATACTCTTTAACTTATGAAAAATGTTTTCAAACTAAAAGAAGAAGAAAGAATAGTCACCCCTTGAGTGCTTTGGAGGTGTTACTGTCGTTAAAACGTACTATTCTTTCTGTCTCAATTTATATAACACACTTTTCTTTTAAGTCAATTAAAAAAAAAGAGGCATTTCTATATTTAGTAATAGTTTAACTTCAAAATATTCATTTTATCCTTAATGAAATGATTTATAGCTATACAAACATCTATCACTTATTTTAGATCATAAGTTTCAAGAATCTTCATTTTTTTCTTAAATTATATGCCAAGTCAAAGTAACTCATATAAGCTGGGACCGAGGGAATAGGTTTTTTGGTTGACAATTTAATAGTGTTGTTTTAAATTTAAAAAATATTTTAATTTTTAGAGTTAAGTTTTTTAACAAACTTTTGGAAAAACAACTGATATTTTTTTTGTAGTAGGATAAATTATTTTGAATTTATGTTAGGACAATACTACCCTTATTAAAATACATATTTATCAAATATCCATGTTGTATGGACAAAATATAATTATATGCATTATAACCAACACATCTATAACTTAAGTCTCATAAACTTGCTCCCTTTCAATTTTGCAATTTTAACTAATATTAAATGAAGAAAAACTATTCATGGGCATCAATAACAAATATAAAGCCTATTACCTATGACATGGGCATCAATAACAAATACTTGAGTCAAGACGTCCGTGAAACATAAACAGATGGAGACTCTCATCATATATGGTTTACAATCTTATTAACATACGCTTAGCTAGATAGGGGTATACATGGTCCGGGTTAGTTCGGTTTTTTTAAATACCAAACAAAATTATTTGTATCAGGTTTTGAATCTATAAACCAAATCAAACTAATGAATTTTAGGTTTTTCAACCTTGGTTTTTTTCCGAATTTTTTTGAGTTTTTCATTAAAGTATTCATACAAACATATAATTAACTTGTGCTTCAAATACATTTTACTCCTACCGAAATACAACTATGGAAGGTGTTCTTCATTTTACTCCTACCGAAATACAACTATGGAAGGTGTTCTTCATTTTACTCCTACCGAAATACAACTATCGAAGGTGTTCTTAAAAAGACAACACAAAATATAATATGAGTGATGACACTAAAATATTCAACAAAAAATAATAATGAAACCACATAAAACAAATATTGCAAATAAATAAGTCATAATGAAAATTATCATAATTTAAAAGTTCTATATTATACTAAAATAAGTCTAATAATATTAATTAAATGACTAAATATTAAAGAAAAAATAATAATGAAACCACATAAAACAAATATTGCAAATAAATAAGTCATAATGAAAATTATCATAATCTAAAAGTTCTACATTATACTAAAATAAGTCTAATAATATTAATTACATGACTAAATATTAAAGAAAAACTACAATTAAGTTATGTAATTTAATTGTCAAAATCAATGTAAAACTAAAGAACACATATTCAATATTATTGTCATTCTTAGTGTTGAATTATTATTCTTTTGTTATCTTTAGTATTGATTTGATTTTGATTTGAGCTTTATTAGAGTTACTAATAATATCTATGGACCATAGCCTTTATTGGACCATTAGAAGTTCTAAGTCAAATTTGACATAATATGTTAGTAAAATATAAAAACTATGAAAAAACATAAGAAATATTTATAAATTATATAAAAATAAATACTTTTATGTATGAAATAAATTTAAAAATTATAAATATAATGTTGGGTTGATTTGATCTTGGCTTGATTTTTCAAGTTAAAATCAACTCAACCCAAGTATAGTCGATTTTGTTTTTCAATATCAAATCACTAGTCAATTTTTTTTTCTCGATTTAACTCGATCTACAGTTTGGTGTAGTTTTTGGTTTGATTTTGTTCACCCCTTACCCTTACAAATGCTCACCCGAGCTCGTAGATGAAGATGTGTGAGAAAAATATCTCAATTGATAGAGATTCCAAGTTTTCTACTTTGTTTTTTTTTTTTTAGAAAAAAACAAGCTTTCCTTCAAGCTTCAAGTATGGAGAAGTGAGATTCCATGACCTTCCATGGTGAAATAAAGTCAATTCACGGAGGAATTCACTTATCTTGACCTTGTGAGTGATGGAAAGGAGAAAATTTGAGAAAACAACTATTCTAAACACAATCCAAAAATTTTGTGCTTCGTATCCTCTGATGCATACATTGAGAAGTGTGTCATGATGACATCTACTATACACTACCAGTAGATAAGTCAAACCCCATAGTCCGGAACCAGGAGTAATGCGCTGTCACACGTAAGAAAACACAAGGGGAATGGGGGACAATATCAATATAGAGGAAGGAGAGGTAAAAAATATAAACATAAAAATTTACTCAAAGACCTGACATTAATTGCTAGTCGAGCTTCCAATCAAAATAGGAGTACAAAAAATTATAAATACAAATATATATAGAACTATCTCCGAATGCAAAATAAAGACTAGCCCTATCGAAGAGAGAGGGAGATCGGAAACTCTGAATGTCACGAGCTCACCCCAGTCTTTGAATCCCAAAAGCTGCTCTACACGAGTCCCAAATAAATGACAAAAACTTGTACTATGATTTGCAAAATGCAGAAGTGTAGTATGAGTACCAACAATAGGTACTCAGTAGGCATAGTCCGACTTAGTTCCAAACAAAGACAATATAAAGAGCACGTAAATAAGAAAAGCACAACACAAGTAACTAACGAAGGGGTATCACGTGATAACACAAGTAAATAAAGATGAAGAAATAGAATACACTAACTAAGAGACCGAAACAAGGGAACATACCTAGAGGCGCTAGTCTAACAACCTAATCACAACAAAGAATGCCAACTATACAAGGATACCAATGGTAAACACCACTACTCCACTTAATCACCTAAAAGGTCAATCAAACCTAACCGAATAAAAAACACCCAGATAGGAAAAATTACAACTGATATACATAACTACTATAAAATGATCAACATAAGATACACAACCATATTATCGAACAAAAACCTAATCAAACCCCCATAATCCTGGAAGGTACACAACAACAAACATAACCCAGTCGACCTCGGCCATAAGACCGGTTGGTGCAAACAACAATCAATTATATTGGTGATCGAAAATGAATATGAATGCAACTTATGTGATAGAAACCAACTAAGCCATCAAAACCAAGTACCACACAACCAAATATATATACCTACCTCCAGCCCATGACAACTAGGTAGGACTTATGCGGATATCATCATCTTGTTCAATGTGTCACATGACCGAAGGAAACATAAGGGACTCGAGAAGTTTGTATACAATGTTTGATCCCGATTCAGGACTTCCAAAGCTATCTATCCCCGTACCAGATCTACTCTGTCATGGTAATAGAGGTAATAGTAGACAAATCAATAGAGAAAAGCGGCACCGACACGGTAAATGATCAAGTAAAAGGTGAGCACATCCAGATGCCTCCAATGTCTCAAAAACTAATTTATCAAAGTGATCCAAGTGGTACAACTCCCGTCAAAACCAATTTTAAAAGAGTAAAAACGTAAAAACAACTTTTTCGAAAATAGTAGTAAATATCCAATGCATGAGCTGGGGTCATACCACAAAACACGTGAAATAGGTATCAAATGCAATGTATGCCATCACTAGTATTCAAACAATAGCAGCTTAACAACTAGATAAACACTACAAACTACCACGCTCCCAAAGCATAGAAAACTAACCTGAAGTCTAATTGGTCCTCGACAAAGGCCTCAATCCCAACAATCTACCAACATCCTCAACAATAACAACATAACAAGATTAGTAGTACCCACGAAACAAAGGAATCAATGAAGAATTCGATAGTCAAAGGGGGGTGGATAACTCAAATATCAACGTTTTACCCCGAACATACAACTCAAGCTCCCAACCGAGCACAACTAAAGCCAATCATGGCTATGACAAGCAACTAAAGTCTGATCACTAACATAAGGTACAAAAATCATAACAACCACTATATGGAGAAACTGACAACTAAAAGGATCGCTAAAACACATGCTTAAACATCTAAGTCACAAGCTAAACTAAGGTCTCAAGTATCAATTCTAAGGAGAATGATTGCACTAACTATGCTATAAGCAAGTGTACTAGCCTAAACTAAGGATTTTACCACATAGGACTAGCCAAAAACTTATATGGGAATCAATAGAAAAGGAAATAAAGGATGGATTCCTAGAATCCGACATATATATCCTAATTCACATGCATTTTATACTAAACATTATCTAATGGAGCACAATCAAGAAAAGTAGACTGTAGCCTACCTTGAAGCCGATCATATGCGTTCTAAATTCATTGCACTGGAGCTTTCCTCTTCCAAAACACCTCTGATCACCACAACACTTTCATAGAAGTGATCACAACATCAATACAAACGTTTAGACACCAAAACTGATACAATTAGAGACGCACCCAAAATTGAGTTAAAAATAAAATTGTGGGACCCGCACTAAAAATCCTAAAATTGACCTTGTAATTGGGTCCTAAACAACTTACTGAACTTGTGCCCAAAAATTGGAAAATTCAAGCTCAGTATCACAACATGCATGAAAATGAAATAATATGCTATTTAAAGAAGCTCAGGCAGTCCTTCGGGATGGAAATGAACCTCGAAGATGCACTTCCCGCACTCTCCTAATAACCCCACGATAAAGCCATGCCAAAACCTGACAATTAGCAACTAAAACACCCAATGAAGAGCTCCCAAGCTCGAGATATCCAACTTTAAATATGCCAATTGAAGCTAAATTAACGACTAGTCTTTAAAGTAAAGACCAATAAATTGACTTTTGCGAATGCAAACATCTGGTAACGATCATGTTGGTCAACCCTAGGTCCACTACTAAAAAAGGTAAAAAAACCACGGACGAAAAAATGACG